CCAGCACCACCACCCCCACCCCACCAGCAGCACCACCACCACACACTTTACATGATAAAGCAAAGCAGCAGCACTATCTTTAAGCAACATCTTTCAACACAGCATCAATGCTCCCCAAGGTTAGGTAATAAGAATATCAATTTAGGAAGAAAAAAGAGGAGCCCTTAAAAAAATACAAGTCTCTCTCTCTCTCTCTCTCTCCCTCTCTCCACTTGCTCTGGGGGAACAAGGTGCCATGTTTATTTATTTATTTTCTTATTTATGTAATTTATTTTCTTGAGGAAACTAATCCAGAATAGCCATGTTTTTTAAATATGTTTTTATGGATTTTAGAGGAAAGGGGGGGGGGGGGTTGGCTGCCTCCCACCCCCGCCCGCGCGCGGTAACTTCTGACCTCGCCTGGAGGAACCCGAGAGCGCGCGCTGGCGTCCAGTGCCTGGAGCGGGGCGAAGATGTGACCGAACAAAAGGACGCTTGCCAATCAGAAAACTACCCGAGAACTAAAATTACCTCTCTTTGTGTTTTTGAAAACTCTTTAACTAGCAAATGCCCTGTTTTCTAACACGCATTAAAACTTTTCTTCCCAGATTCCAAACAGAGGATCAAAGTATTGCTTCTGCAACTAAGATGGGAAAACAGGGCCATTGAAACCTCGCTTTAACCCGTACAGAGTGTTCCGAGGCACTCGGGCTCGAGGTACTTGTATAACCATTCACCCCCAACGCTTAGTTTTCTTAAAACCTCACTAAAGCTACCCCCGATCCCTGTACTCCGGGCCGTGCGCGCGGGCGGGGTAGTCTGGGGCCAGGGACCCTTGCTCCCGCCGCTCTCGGAGGAGGGGTCTGCCCTTCCTCCCGCCTTAGTCGTCTCCCTCCTCTCGACTCCCTTTTCTCCTCGCTGCGGCCCCTCCTCCTTTTTTTACAACCCGGAGTAGGGGAGAGAGGGGATTGTGGCCTCACGTGGTGTGTTGGGGTCTGGAGAGAGAAAAGCGATCTGCGAGGTGCACCCCCTTTTGCCCCTTACCGAACCCTGCTAGTAGGACCCAGCTGCCTAAAAGTCCCGAGAAACCCAGCATTTTCAGACCCAGAAGGGCTACCGCGACTCTCTCTGCTCAGGCGCTGTGTTATTCTCAGCTTCTCCCCGCAAAAGTCTATCCCGATGCGCCATTCAGGGATGTGTGTTTTAGTGCACCCAGAAGAGGAACAAATCTCTCAAGCAAACTGCCTTTCTGGTGCGCGTACCCCCGCAAACCCGAGCGAATTCAGGGGTAAAAGTTTTTAACTTTTCTCTCCCAGCCCCCCGCCCCTCCCCGCAGGAATCCGCCCAGAGCGCTGCAGACACCGCCTCTCAGGTTCCCTCGCCGGCCCCCTTCTGACTTCCACCCAATCCGAAGGCGGCCGCACAGAAAACAAAGGCTGTCATTGGGCAGCCCTGGACCTCGAGGGCCCGCCCCCGGAGTGGTTTGTGAATGGGGGGAGGGGAGGGGGCGGGGCGGCCCGGGACC